GAGGATCTTGGTTATCTGGTAGGTGAAGGGTATTGACAATGAAAAAAACCTCTTATACTGCAGAAATGGATGCTTGGAGTTAAAAATGAAGCACACAGAGCCAAAGACTGCAGTCAATGGCAGTTGATAAATCAGTATGATAGCTCCCTAGACTGAGGCAGAGACAGAAAAGCAACTGATGTGGCCTGTCATACTCAGCAGCGATCCCTCACCCTCAAGATCAGGTCAAAAGCTAGGGACAGAAGTGTCAGACATGCCTGCCAAGTCAGTCATTCACATTAATCTTAGCGAGACTGCTCTGGTACAGACAAACTAGTCATTCTTTTACAGAAAATAAATGAAGATATGCCCCAGTAGACATATACACAACAGGCAACTGCCTCCCAAATGGCTATTTCTCTTTAACAGTTTGTACAATGGCTCTCTATGCCTCTGTCACCACAATCACTTTTTGCAGTACACTCCAGAGCACTCATTCGGGAGCTAGGACTATTTCTAAAGTTCATACAAACAGCAGCATCCCAATATTTCAGGTTTACATCAGCTTCTGGAGCTTCCTACAGAGGTTATTTTTAAATTCTAGGGTACCTGGGACCTAGTCACCTCATGAACTGCCTTTCTTCATATTACATACTCCCAGAAGTGAAATCAAAAGCAAGCTGCTATTATCATGCTTCCATACACTGTTTCTCCCCCTGCTTCACACTTGGTCTTCCAGACTCTTGCCTCCAGTCTGCTTGAAGATTATTACAAGGGGAAGGGAACCTGAACCTAATCTCCAGACTGTACAGTTTCATTTCTGGTTTTTCACTAGGTACCCAGTTTGAAAGACGAGTATCTGTAGTCTCAGGCTTCTAGGCTGTCATAACACACCCTCAGCTGGTAAGGCATCTGATCATCATAGCTGTACCATAAAAAAAAACAAAACCAAAAACATTTACTGAAGACATCCTGCACAGTTGTCCTGATTGGAGCTAAAGCAGAAGTCTGTTCAGTGATTTTACTTTTCAGCTAAATCTAATTAACTGCACTTTCTGAAATCAACAGCGTATTTTTACAGACAGTGTCTGCTTCTACTAGTGATAGCACTTGATGTTATAGTTAATACCAAGGAATGGTACGCAGAAAGGCTCTTGCTTATACTTGCTCGTACAGAAACCAAGGTCACTGTTAAATCTTGTGCCACATGTGGAAGTGCCATAAAGTAGAGGGTTGTAAGCAAGTAACAAGATCGCACCTGCAGGGAGGAGCAAACTGGATAGGTGACCAAAACCAGACCAACTAAATATTCCATCCCGCATCCGTCATATTCAGTATAAAGCTGAGGGATCACAAGGGTTAAGCTCTCTTCTTCGATGGCTGGCGTCTGAGGAGGACTCCATCTGCTCCTCTGTCTTTGGTCCCGATCCATGCATTCCTGAATCAAGCTCCTGTCTCCAGTTCCTGTCTGCTGCCGAGCCCAGCCTGGGACTTCCCCAGTGCCAGCCCTGCAGCATCACTGGTGATGTATCTTCATCAGGGAAACTGGGTTCAGTATTGGTTTCATGTATACTTGTATATATTTCATTATTTTCTCATTTGTATTATATTTTCTTTTTTATTGTTATTGTTTTATTAAAGCTGTTTTAGTTTTCTTTTCCAGCCTGTGTCTCTCCCTTCCCCTTCTGGGAGGGGAGAGGGGTTAGTAGAGAGCATCTGTCATTCATTAGGGCCCAGCCCAGCCTCAACCCACAACAACAGTAATACTTCAGTAGAATACCCACCAAGTAAAATTCCCTTCCCTACCCCCTCCGTGTTCTCAGCAATTCCACCAACTAACAAACGTGAATTGATTGTCAGTCTTAACATTTTTTGTCCATCCTAACTAGTTATTTACTCTGCAGGTTTTAATATAAGGACTCCCACGATGTTTTCTCAAAGTACTTCCCACTGAACCCATATGAACTGCTTACATACCGTTCTAAAGTCCTCCTCAAACTTGTAAGCTCCACCTCCTGTGGCACAGAGCGTAGTGTGCAAACTGGAGAAGTTCTTTTCACTACCCATCTGTATGAACCTGTGCATAGCACAGCTGGGAAAGCGGATGAAGTGCAGGTTTCCTTTGCGTCCACACATAGTCAAATTTTTCAGTTCAAGATGAACATCACGAATGCCAGTTTTACCATAGGCTGTATTGGAGGTCAAGTATTTCCTAATGCTTTTCAGGTTTTCCACCTCCTCCTGTTCCTCTTCTGCAGTAATGTCCTTCGGTTCAAAGTAGACCAGTTTAACCAATGTTCCACCGATATCCATTCCAAACCATGGAAACGCTAAGGACGAGGGGGTTGGGGAAGAAAGAAAAAGTCACTTTAAATATCACTTATAACATTTTCTGAATGACAATTCAGTGCAGTCACAATAGCAACATCTGCTCCCTAAAGCTGGTGGTCACTTACATGTCCAATTCACATGTATTAAACACTCCGTAAGTTAAGACTTCATAAAGCCTCAGTCAAGAAAAAGAATAAAGAAAATATCAAAATACTCTTCTCTGGAGAAGCACGTTTTAATAAAATTAAAATATTTTTTCCCAGGAAAACATTTTACTCTTCAGTCAGCACCGCTTGACAGAGCCCATTTTCTGCATTTCACCCAGTCTAACTCCCAGCACTAATTCTTAAAATAGACTAAGGGAGGAGGAAGAAAAAAACAAACAGGAGAACAAGATTTCTCAAGTCACATTCCCACTGCGTAACATCTACAATTGCCTTTCCACAACTAGTCAGAATTTCCAGTCACAAGGCTCTGTCTGAAAAGCAGCAATACAAAACTCTCCCATTATGCTGGGAGACTCCAGACTTCAGCCCACCAGAACTAGCAGCTCTGTTGAAACTGCACTACCTGCATATAGAAAGAGAATGAGCTGTTTTAAGCTCAATATTTACCACTGACAGTCCTTGCCTTTGAGCATAGACTTCCTTTGCCGGTATATGTGTTAGCCTAACGTACAATTACACAAATGCCACTATTTGCTTCTCAGCATATATGTATTTGCCACAGCCAGCCTAGGTCTAGCAAAGCCTTTGCTCTGTTAATAGCAAAAGAAAATTACTATGGAGAACATGCAGACAGAAGATACTAACTCAACAAGGTTGGTCTGCCTGCTCTACTTATACATACATGCACACATTTTAAATAGGAAGCCAGGTAACTTTATGAAGGACTAAGAAGTGAGAATATAAAATCTATACACAAGTACTGCAGAAGGAGGCAGCTAGTAATGTTTCTTAAAGAAATTAAATTAAAAGTACTGAGTATGTGACTAACATCTAAGATACATTTCTATAAAAGCAGTCACACAGTCATCTCCCTGCTTTTAGGGAGAATCAAGCAGACTTGCTAGAAATGCAATTCTACCAATTAGGGCATCCCAGCTTAGTGTTGGTACAAACTCCAATGGACACAACATGTATTGCTGATTTTTCTGCCAGTGAACCTCAACATAAGCAACTTGGGGCAAAGATTTTAATATGCATAGGAGGTACTGATCACACTGTTCTTCATGTAATCACAGATCAGTATTAAGTTACTCAACTTTAGGCTGAAAGCAGCTTAGTCTTTTATTTCTTACCACAAGTGCCTCAACAAATTTCATAACTGTTAATACACCCTTTCCCAAAACCCAATCCTTAAATGTCAGATATTTAAAATTGTTATTTTGCTCCATTGCTGTATGCCAAGTAATTGAATCATCTGTTTCTCCCCCCTTTCCCTAAGGACAAGGCAGGAATAATGCATCAACTCCCACAGAGTGGCTTGCTTACAGTTCAGTTTTTCTAAGAGCACCTACTGTTATCTGTTGTAAAGTCTAATTTATTTTTCCATGCCCTACAAGATCCAAGACACAAAGATACTGAAATGAAGTCTAATCTGAGGTTTGGGAAGGTACATCCTATGCAGATGCATGAGAGCTCCCTGAAATGGGAAGAATTCAAAACAAATGTTTTTAAAATAGGCTTCATTTTAAAGAGGAAAAATGTGTTACCTTACACTAACCTGTAACTCTAACACTTTTGGAAGTACAAGGTAAATATTTAAGCAAAAGCAGTCTGGTCCACACTCTACAGCACTACAGTGCAGTGGAGCTTAGAATGCCAATCCCATTAGTGATTTACACAAATTGTATTTAAGCTACTGAGAACTTTAATTACCTGTTCCACTGGAATACTAAGTCTCCTGCTCAGATGTATCTTAACTATGCAAGCAGGAATTTTAATTTTAAAAGCAGCATGGTTGGACTGTGCCATACAGAACCAGACCATAGCTAAGCGTAAGCCAACTTCCAACAGTCTACATCAAGGGCATAAAATCTGCTACAATCTACTCACGCGAACAATTGCTCTAAAGCTATAGTGTAGATTTAATCTTTAAGAGAGGGAAGAAGCATTCCATCTTCCTATCAAACACAAGTCCAGCAATAAAAGTGTTAAGTACTTACTGTTGAGAATGATTCAAGACATTTACTTTTATATCTTAACATTTTGAGGAGTCATAACTAAATCATTAACAAATAAGTACTGCAGAAAACAAGTATGAAGTTATTTCAAATTGTGTAGTTCTTGGGATAGGTACACCTAGTGCTCAACATTTAAAAAGCAAGCAGAAATACAAATACACTTTTTTTTTTCTAGTTTATTCTGTCTGTGAACCTAAGCTCCTTTCATTTTGTGGTGAGCCAAACAGAGAGCTGCAGAAAGGAAAGAACTTTGCTCTTAGAACAGCAGCAGTTTTCTTCAGCACAAATAAAGAGCACAAGATCAGTCCACAAGGACTGATATTTCAGTTACACAGCTGCTAACAACAGCAATCTGTGGAATCACTTGCAATAAAGACAACTACTATTTTGACTGGTTGACCAATTAGAACAAAAACCGAGTCTCAAAGTTCCTGACAAGTTCCACTGAAATTCATATAGCTCCCATACAACCGGAGTGGCAGTATAAACTCTCCTGTATTCCGGTGATTATTTTAAAAATTTATTCATTGTATCTTGTTACTATCAATACGTTCCAAAACAAAACAGGCCACTGAAGCACCATCAATTCTTTTCAGTATCTTTAGATAACCCACCTCAGCTGGTACCTATACACTTCACCATTCCTGACACCACTGAATGGCGTGCTAGTAGGAGCACACCTGCAGACTGCAAGGTGCTCCTGGGTTCTCCTGCCTCACTGAATACGGAGGGAAAGACCATTCAGAGGCCACAAAAATTATTAGGGACCTCACTGCTACAACCAGGGTGTATGAAGAAGGGTATTTGACTAGATACAGTCTTCACAGACCTGACAGAAAATGAGGGAGAAACTGTAGAGTTGTTTTGGTTTGGGTTGTTTGGGATTTTTGTTTGTTTTAAACTGGAATTCCAGCATTTCCTTGATAACCTGAATAAAGGTCCACTTTCCCGAGTTATGAAAAATCAGGAAAGGAAGGAGGGGAAAGTGAAATCCAGTACATCCACATGTTAGGCTGACAACAGTTATTCAAAATTGTGTTATTTACTACGGAAAATTAAGATGAAGACACTGTATATGTTGCAGACACGCTTTCACAGTGTAAAAAAATGCACTTAACTAAAATTGTCTGATAAGACCGTTATGAGCTGATTTCTCTCAAAGTCAGTATGCAGTATACCTATTAGATCAATGCAGTCTATTATTGTGGAGAAAACAGAACTATTCTACTGTATTGGTACACTGCAGTAAATCATAAAAATAACAGCACTACGAAATCTAGTTCTAGGTCCCATAGAACTGATACAGAAAGTGTGAAGATGAATCATGCATTCTTAAAAGCCTAGCATAAATCAAAAGACTCTGCTTATCTTGTTAAGAAAATTAATTCTCTTTATGTTAATAACCTGCACCAACTACTTACTGGGTTGTTATCTTGAGATAAAAGTCTCCATTACTCCAAAATTTCGCTGCAGAAGCATGTGACAATGCAAACAGAAGGTATCTACAGCATTGCATAATTAGGTAATCTGATGCACACCAACAGCTGTGCTATCTGGGGAAAGGTTCACTCATGAGAATTTCCATGATACATTTTACCTAGTTTCTGCACAGACTTTGAAGAGTATGAACCTATAAGGCTATTCCTATAAGGCATTATTACATTCAGAATTGAACATATCTGATTTTTAAAAATCCTATGCTTAACATACAATATAAGGAGTGTGTGTGAAGGGTAAATATCAAATCACAACATAGACAAGAGTTCAGGGGAAGCAAGAATGTAAGGGAACTCCTGGGTTACTAACATTTGTCCCCATTAAAGAGGATAACCAAGGGTAATCCTTTTCATATGTTTAAACAACCACCACATAGTTAGCCAAATCTTTTTACTCTTCAACTCTTAAAAGGATATTGTGCCTGAATCCTGCCGGTTAGAACTTTCTTCTCCCTACCTGGACCATAGATTTATCCATGACCAATTTGCAGCAGTTTCTTCTCCTGACAAAACTGTTCCAGCCTATGCATCTCTCTTGCACAACCTGTATTTCCTCAAACACAGAGCATCTCAATTTTTTATCAATACTTTGAATGGTGGTATCAATAGTCTGATACCCTAGCCATAAATCTCAGATGAAATACCTTCGGTTCAGCTGCTTTTCTTCCTGGACATACATATGATGAAATCCTATTACTTCATTCACATTTTTCATTTACATTTAATTTGCATTGCTTGATACTTTGATGATGTAAGAACTTCCTGTTTTAATTGGGAATGCAAGAGGGGAGCGCGAGCCAGAAATAAGAACAGTGAAAAACAATCAAAACAAGAGTCACACATAAGATGTGATAGTGTTCTCACAGCTTCTGAAAGCTGCTTTCTATTAAAAAATAAGCTGATAATAGCTTACACATATTTTTCATTTGCCTCCTACTTTACACAGTTATTTTGAGCAAACCAAACATGTTGTAAAATGGAAGCATTTTTTTTCCTTTACAAAACATATAGCTTTAAGTAATTATATCTGCTCAGTAATGGAAGTTTTTTTCAAACCTGACAAAGCTAGCACTAAATAAATCATGCACATACATCAGGCAAAGGCTTCCACTTCATTTTCAGCAGCAAAAGCTTACTGAATGTCTACCTCCTCCCCAGAAAATAAATAAATAAAATTCAAAACAACTAAACCCCAAACCAAAAAGCTTCAAACCCCAAAAGCACAGAGCTGTTTGACCATCCACACATACAGTCATATCACCACAAACTTATTTCTGAAGATAGCACTGGGAGACTAGCTCATTACCCAGTCTGTATAGCTTCATTAAAAAAACCCTAACAAATAAAAGCCCAGCTTACAAAGCTAGAAGCAGCAACAATTAGCTATCAAGATTCTCATTCTTGGATCTGACAGCTCCTAGCCTGATGGAAGTGATTTGCATGTTTCCCATTCCTGTTGGCAATGTGTTACCTTGTTGGTAAGGCTGACATGCAGTTTTAACTTGCAGGATGCCGGACCACAACGCACCAAATAGTTCAGTTTGTTATGACCAGTCCTATTCCTTAGGCAACCCTTACTCCCTCCTACATTAAAACGAACTGGAGACTAATTTTAAGCAGCATTTCACTTGAAGCAATTCTTAAGATTAAAAGACTGTGGGATAATCCAATGCCTTGGACAGAATTTCTGTAACCAACAATGTTGTACTTACTGTGTCAATAGCAAGACCACAACCATTTTCATTCCTGTATTCTTCATCAAAATACACTACATAATCATGGCATTCCATATCTAACATCACTGCAGATGAAAAAGCCTAGGTTTTCGACAGTTTCCACCTGGCTTTTAAGTAGTACTACGTAACCGTGCTGCAGCCAAACATAACAGATGAAACAACCTAAATATTGTCCAAAAGCATTCTTTATTATGAAGCTACAACTCGAAGTGTTTAGAAATGACAACTAATATGCATTATAACTGCCATGAATGGTCACAACGCCTCAAAATACATATTCTTTGACTCCTAACAATTATCATCTGACTGGGGGTGAGACACAAGACAATGACTTGAATAGAGATTCCAAAGCTTTATATTAATTCAAGAAAAGCAACAGAATTAAGAAGTCCAGCTAGCTGCTTCCCTATGTTGCAGTCTAGTTAACTGCCTTGCTGAAATCTTTGTCCTTACTTGGCTACAACTCTGTTTCATAGGCATTAATGAAGGCACTTAACCGGCCTTTTTCTTTCTTCTTTTCAAAGATCACATTTAAACTAAACAACATGACACTTTAGCAGGCTTCTGAAACTTGCAGAGTTCACACTGTTTCAGTATTTTATTCTCTCCTGGAGCGCTTCACAGTGCAAGGCATCATAACAGACAATTATCTGTACTCATTATGCTGTGCTGTGATACCAAAAGGTAACGTAAACCCTAATCTCACAAAGGGTCTGCGGTAACTATTTGAACCAGAAAACTGATGTAAGACCAGCATCCCTGGCAACTCATCTAGCTCAACTAAGGAA